GAAAACTAAAATTTCTGAGTTCTTCTGTTTCTCAAAATTATTTTGTCCCTGTGCTTGATTGATAATTTGGCTGCAGAGAAGTCCACGATTATCTTAACTTTGTGCCAGGGTCGGTGTCTCTGCATTTTTCCTCATCTTTCTTATTCCTGTTATTGGTTTTTTGATCATCAAAGAGCTGATGATCTCTGATTGACCACTTGTATTTGAGGATGAGGTACAGAAAGGTAGACTGAGGGGACTCTGTATATGAGGTTAGAGGTGTTGCGTGGTTGGCTTCCATTTGGGACTGGCATGAGGGAAATTGGAGTCCACTCCCCAACTCAGGAGGGTGAGCGCTGTGCCCAAGCATGGAGGTCACACACCTGCTCCAGCTGCCCTTAACCAGTTTATCACACAACTTTGAAAAGGAGGGCCCTGATACTAGGTGTGAAGATCATTACCCAACAGCACATCAAGCTCCAAGTGCACGGCCAGCCATGGTCAGCCATGTTGTCTGACTCTTTGCCTTCTCTTCAGTTGCAGACAACACCTCACACCTACTCTCCTTCCCAAGTCCTAGATGCCCTCAAGCATTCTGCTTTCTTTTCTGTTGTAACTCTGCTTATTCCCGTTCCGGCCTCTGCTGCTTTGTTCCTTCAATGGAACTTCCATTCTCTTCCACCTTCCAGAAAGACATGGCATCTTTCTTTTGTCAGTGACCTCTGCTTCTCTTCCTCATCATGGTTTGTGCATTCCTGCCTTTACCATCAGTTTAGTGGAGTCCTGTCATGGGAGAGGAGCACATGTGAGGCTCCATCTGCCAGCTTAACCCAGAAATTGTTAAGGGAAATTAATCAGATGGAAGGGGTGCAGGGAATGACTTCAGAGCTTTAGGCACTGCTTGTCCATGAAGGTTAAGCACCAACAGTCCTCTGCAGGGTCATAACATGGGGAGCAGGAGTAACGAGAGGGTAGAAATACAGGCCCAAGCATGAGATCCTGGTATATTTTCCTGCATGCTTGTTACCCTTCTTTACACAGTGGGACTCTGAGGCCAGAGTCTTATAGTCCTCCTAAATTCCACCAGTAATTCTACTTGCTTAATGGGCTATTGTACACAAAATGGGAGGCCAATAAATGCTGGATAATGAAAACGGTCCTCTGAAATGGGCTCCAGATTCCACAATCACTGAAGTCTTAAGAGCAAGTGACCCATCCACCCACACATCCACTCCCTGGGTTTCTCCTTCAGTATGTAATCAAAGGCTCTCCTTCAAGCCAGCTGCTGGGAGAACAAAGATAACCAAACATAATCTCTCCACCAAAGAAGCTTATGGGACCTGAAGGTCTTCCTGGTTTTCAAACAGCCCAAGATACATACACAGATTAGGAGCTCAAGCAAGTGGGACCCTAATTGGAGTATGATGCCTACACGTGTACTCAAGCTGGTGAGGCCTTAAAGAAAAGCCAAGTGTACCTGGTCTCAGGTATATCCAGATCTGTCAGTTTGACTCGTTCACTTAAGATAAGTAGCTCTGAGGCAAAGTCGCACATTAGAAACATATTAACTTGATTTCTTTGCCTCTGCAGGCCAACACTAGGAATTACGAATGATGGAACTCCTGATTTATACAGATTTGCTGAAAAATAGACAACGTTTGTGTTTCTTTCCCGTACTCGCTCCCACTTTTATGAGTGCTGTTAAGTTTCATTTCAGCATGTTAAATAATTTGTGACTCACTGAAATGAAACTTAACTCAGTCCTCATAAAAACAGAACAAAATGGTATTTCCATGTTTCATGTTATGGTTTGAATCAGCCTGCTATTTGAAGCTTAGTGGAATCTGCTCAAAATGCCATTTGGGAGCCTCTCGTCCCCTCCGTTCTCTACCAACTGGTCACTGTGCTTCTCAAAATTTCCCAGAACTCCTTCTGCCACCCCAAAATAGCAAAATTTATAGCTGAAGGGAACAGAGGAAAAAGCTAGTAAGTGAACCCTGGCAATATTTCTGTAAGTGCTATCTTACATAAAATGTGGATGATTCCTACCTTTTATCCTGTATAATCAGGTTACAGTACTGATGAATAAGTACAGATCCTTTGCTCACTAAACTCCTGAGATGTCTTTTATTACTATTCTTCTTTTTCATCAATTTTCCTTGCCTTAATCATTCACAAGTACCACAGGAATCCAGAATATTCTACTTTGGCAATTACTGTAACAAGGCATCAATACTATATACTTGTATTTAATTTCTTATATTCTTCTTTATTTTTTAAAAGATTTTATGTACTTATGAGAGAGAAAGAGCGTGGGTGAGAGCATGAGCAATCAGGGGGGAGGGGCAGAGAGTGAGGAGGAAAGAATCTTAAGTAGACTCCGCACTCGATCTCACGACCCTGAGGTCACCACCTGAGCCAAGAGTCAGATGCTCAACCAACTGAGCCACCCAGGTGCCCCTGATTTCTCATACTCTTATTTAAGCATGCTCAACTTTATTATAAAACTTCATTAACTATGACTTTACTAAGTTGGATTTTGTGAGAATTGATTTCCCAAAGGGCTAAGCTGAAGCTTTATAGTTTCTTTCTGAGAAGTAAGAACGGTTAGTAAAATTACAGGTTGTATTTTTACTTCCTTCAGGAAGCAAGTGGTTTCTCAGGGATTTAATCTCATGAGGGGCCTATGTGTACATGCTGCCACCACCTATCAGGATGATGGTCCTTCTGCTAGGACTGGAGGCAGCTGATTCCTGGGATACATCTCCTCTACCAGAGGAGATGGTACTTGTGAGAACGGATGAGGGGTGAGGTGAGGCTCCAATGAGCCTGAGTCAGCCCACCGGCCACAAAACATCAGGAGGAAGGGGCACTGTCTGCACCTGTGTTGAGGAGTGGTGCTTGGTTAGGACAGCGGTCAGTAAATGCCATGACCAGGATGGGGGTGAAGGCACTGGAGACAGACCAGGGGCCAGGTAGAGATGGGGTGGCTTCTGGGAACGGAAAGGCAATACTCGTATTATTGCCATCACATTCAAGTGCAGGGCAGGCTCTGGCGGGATGGTGCCAGATGACCACAGACTGAAGGCTGTCAGAGCCATTGCGTGGCAGCTCACCCATGTTGCTCCGACTGATAAACTGGTTCATTTGCTGTCATGGCACTGGGAAGAGTTCCTCATTGAAAAGCATGAGGTTAGAACAAAGGTCACAGAAGGGGCCCACTGGCACTGATTACTTTCAGCTGAAATCATGTCTGGCCAACTCATATGACCCCACTGGTTGTTCATCATTGTGCTGGAGGATGGCTGGCGTAAGTGTAGAATTTAGGAAAGAAAAAAAAAAAATCCTGCACTTGACTTGCTGACGGTTTTACAGAGAAATGCTGGCAATTTCGGTGACAACGATAAGACCTGTGTTCACACCGCTTCCAGGCTCTGCACATTCTCCACAACAACGCTGTAGCCCTGAGGGCCACCAGTCTCACCACTGTCACTGCCTCGTCCCCTGGAGGACTCCTTGCCAAGACTCTCAGGCACACAGTGCCTATCACTGACTCATATCTGGATTTGATAATAAAGCCAGGCAATGCCTGGATGTTGTCAAATTCTTTTCCTGAAAAATCTCAGTTTGGGACTAGTTTGGACTTGGTAGGGGGAAAAAATCCACTAGGGTTGAAATGGCCACAGGGACTACCCTAGAAGTTGTGTCTGTGTGTTTCTGCCTTTCTCCCTTTTACTCCATCTTGCCTTGGCCAGGTGTCAGGAAGCAGAGAGAACAAGAAAGATGTGCTGCCTTGTGGGGTCAGCGGGTCCCAGGCCTGGAGGCAGGTTTCTGGTACCAGTACAGGTAGGGGGAATAACAGCTTCTCTCCCCAGTGACCCCTGGAATTTACAATTGTTCAAATTTTTTTTTTTCCATGAAACTGAGCATCAGAGTTGGGTGTTAACTTTGAGAGGTGTAGAGACCTCACGGGTTCTGGGACGTAGCTTCTCTTTTCTTAGCAAAATGAGAAGGCCCCCCAGGAGCCCTTGGTGAGCGCATTCCTTGCTTACTCTCATGCTGCAGGTGCTGGTCTATGGAGGCCAAACAAAGTAAAGCGAATATTGGAGGCAAGACCTGGCTTTCCTTCCCATGCCAAGTGCACAGCTCTCCTGCTAGCCATCTGCTTGCTTCGGGCTCCAGGGACTCACACCTGACAGGTGCAGGTCAAACTAAATCATCAGGTAATACAACACATGTGGCATAAAGGAGGGTGGCATTACCTGAGTCGTGGCTCTGTGGGCACTGGAAATACACAGCCTCCTGACTCCCTTCTCCAGTTCCACATCAGGAGGATGCTCCCTCTTAGGGAGAAATAGTCCTATCCCACCGAGCTGGGGAGTGCTGCCTCGGGAAGGCTCAGCTTCCGGTGTGCCCCCAGCTCAGGCAGATTTAACACAAGTGGAAGATGAGCTTCCATCCATCGTCTCTCCCTCCCTCCTTGTTTTTCCTGTTGTCTTCATAAATGATACTTATCATTCATTCTAATGAGTCACAGACATGCAACACCAGGATGGCTTTGAGGACTATACTGCACTGGGCATACTGCTTTCCTGGGTACCACCTCTGAAGGATTCAGCTTTGTTCTTCTCTATCTTTGGTAGCTAACTGCAACATGGCTTGTCCAATAACATGTTCACATGCATCTTCCAGCCTGACCTTAGTATTCGACCTGTTCTGCCCTTCGTCAGAATAGCTTAAGTTTCTTAAAGATTTTTTAAGATTATCATGTTGCCACTCTTCTTCCAGCCACCTCAGCTCTCCAGCTGGCCTGGGTGGGCTTCATGCTCAGTTGCTGCTGAGGGAGGAGGGGTGCCAGTTTACGGGAGAGAGCACCCCAGTGCCTTCTTGAGAAGATCCATCCCCTCAAGCCTCCCAAGGTCTCTGCCCACTCCCCCCACCGCCACACCAAAAACTTCTGGGGGTGAGGGAGCTTCCCTTCCAAAGAAAGCCCCACCAAAGACACAAGGAAAACATGTTACCTGGCACTTGCCATGCACACAGAGGTCGGTCTCATAGGGCCCGCAGGGTGTGCCATCCAGGACCCTGTCAGCCACCAGCAGCGGGGACTCCTTCCCCAGGGGTGAGCAGTAGAGTTCACATGGTTTATCTGAGGAGGGAAAGGGGAAGGTGGACATTGATGGAGGAAGGGGTGTGTGGGCCACTCAAGGGGCTGGTGCTCGAGAGGCATGAGCCAAGCAGGGTGCAGGTGCACGTGGGTGGTGGCCCAGAGGACAAGAGGTCAATCAATATGAAATAAAGGTCACAGAAGCCCAGCACATGTTCCTCAGAGGCACGCAGCTTCCCCCTGGAACATTCCACACAGCAAATGGAGAAAGATACGTGAGTGAGGGCTCTGGGGGTTCTTATTTACCTTATTCTCGTCATCCTTTGCAAAGGTATAATATTCCTTTTCCTTAAGGCATTAAAAATGCCAGGCAGAACATTTTGTTGTGTGCTGACCTCTGAGTGAACTGACTATGTATCAAGGGAGAGCCTGGGAGCTTCTCTTGTTGTGGGGGTGAGAAAGGGGGAGAAGGTGAATAAGAATGCCTCTGGGTAGGAGGGGGTGTGGGCCCTGTGGATGTCTCCACAGCAGTGGCTTTTGTTAAATGCTTTAGTGCTCCACCAGCTGCTAGATAAAAGCAGTAGGGCTGTGATATATATGGCGAGAAGGTTCTGGGAGAAGCTGAGCTGAAAATACAGGAACAAAAGGGACCTCTAGGACAATGTGTAAGAGCCATGTCACCCGACGGGATGGAAACCCCTAGTTTCTGCTGCTCTTGAAACCAAGTGAGCTCCTAGAACGTGACAAGCCCTCATGCCTTTGCCCAGGCTGTTTCTTTGCCTGGAAATCCCTCCCTGCAGAGCTTCCAGAAGTTTCCTACCACCCCAGAAGGTTCCACTCCACAGCTCTCTCCTCTCATGCCGTCTCTGACATGAACTCTCCAACTGCACTTTGCATACACCTCCATCAAAGCCCTTAGACATTATCCTATTGTCTTATGAGTGTTTGAGTGACTTCCATATACAAAAGGATTTTTTATAAGGTGGGTTCCATTGCTAAAAGAGTTTGAAAGGGATGGGTTTTAATTATCTTTAGATTGAAGAACTGACAATACTGCAAGACCTTAGAGGACAAGGGACTGAGATTTTTATCTCTTGTCTCCAGGCCAGGCCAAGGATGTGGCTGACAGAAGGACTTGGTAAATATTTTAATCTTTCCATATAAACTTTAGAATCAGTTTAATGGTATCCCCAAAATAACTTGCTGGAATTTCACGGGAATTGTGCTAAATCTATAGATCAAGTCAGGGGGAACCGACATCTTGACAAATATTGATTCTTCCTATTCATGAATTTTAATTCACTCATCAGAGTTTCCCTCATATAGATCTTGCACATACAGTGCTAGTTTTATATATAAATATGCCATTTTTGGGGTGTTCGTGTAAATGGTACTATGTTTTTAATTTCAACCCCATTTGGTCCTTGCTGGTATATAGGAAAGTGATTTTTGTACATTTACCATGTATCTTGCAAACTTGCTATAATTATTTACTAGTTCCACAAAGCGTTTGGGGTTTTGGGGGTTTTTGTTGTTGTTGTTGTTGTTGTTTGTTGATTCTTTCGGATTTTCTGTGTAGATGATGTCATCATCAAACAAATGTAGTTTTATTTCTTCCTTCCCAATCTGTATATTTTCAATTACCTTATCTTATTTCATTAGCTAGGACTTCCAGTATGGTGTTGAAAAGGAACAGTATAAGAAGAAATCCTTAGTTTATTCTTGATCTTGGGAGAAAATCTTTAAGCTTATTTTTAAATAAATGAATGGATTTTGTTCTTCTCTATGTAACTCTGAAAGAGGAATACACCCCTTTCTCTCTCTCAGTCACCTAATTCTAATGACATTAATGTGATTATTTTTGCAAAGAAACTTCCAGAAACAGAAACACCAACACTTTTGTGCTGCCTCGTCGGTCCCTTTGTTTCCACCACTGGCTCATTTTTCAGTGGCCTCAGATAAGAAAGCGCAGGGGTAGAAAAAGGCTTCTGGAGTTGACTTGGCTTCAGAAGATCTTGGCATTCCAGCTGGACAGTTCCTGTCAAAGCAGATGTGCTTTGTGCCTCCACTAAGTAGATAAGATAATGTGGGTGCTGTCATCGTTCCGTCTTATGGATGCACATGGGAGACTCACACAAGGTGTGTGTGGCTACCCAGAGTCCCCTGACAGGCAGGGTCAGACCCTGGCCTCTTTGTCCCAGCCTAGTTTTCTTTCTACCATCACTGTTTTCTTTTTGGACAGAAAACGCTAGTGGCCCCAAATACTAAGAGGCAAAATGGTGCTGCTGAAAGCAAACCACCAGTTTCATGAATGTTTCTGGCTTCTGAGTGTCTACTCTGATTTGAGCAGAAATGGAAGTGGGATTTGGGTAGAAAAGTAGGGGGTCTTTTGTGGCAAGTTAGAAAGACCAGATTTGGAGGGGCTGAAGATGGTTTGTCTGGGCTCTGTTATAAACATCAGGAAAATGGAGATTCTCAGATGGAGGGATTTTGGCCATGACCCCAGGCAAACAGGTACACTCAACTCCACCTACACTGGACTCTCCCACCTGCAGACACTGTACTCCTCGGCTTGGACAGCTGGGGACACCCAGACTCTAGAATAGAGTCCAGAGGTAACCCTTCCTTTGCTCAGAATTTAGGGCACTTCCACACCTCTAGGATGGTTTAGCACTATCTCCCAAAAGGACTCAGGATAACCTTTATAAAACTTGAGAAGGAGCCTCTCAAAATTCTCTGAATATTCCCCTCTAAGCTACCTTGGATGGGCAAAGAATCCCCAGATAAATTCTTAGTACAGAAGGAGGTCAAATCTTCTTAAGAACTATAGAACCATGCACTCCAAGGAAAGAAGCTTGGAGTGTCCCTTTTACATGGCTGATGGGGGCTCAAATGAAATTCTAATTGAGGCTGGACTGATTGGTGTGGTTCCTGGTCTCTCACTGACTGACTTGTTGCCAGGAGTTATGCTTGGATGGGAAAACCACAGACAAGGCAGGGGAGATGAACTCAGGGGCTTGAGAGCCACATTATCTTATCTGCTTAGTGGAGGCTTGGAGGAATCCCCCTAGTACTCCATGGTGAAGAGGACACTTGTGGGTCTTAGTACTCTCGCTGTTCTCTTTCTGCCAGTGGTAGTAAGGTCTTACTAAGAGATACCAAGGAATTCTGAGGCCATCACAAGTGCTCACTCCAGCTCTGTCTGGCTACCTTTGGGGGATACAGAGGAGGCTGCCCAGTCCCCTGTCCCCAAAGCTGCCTACCATAACTCAAGAGCCAGGCCTTAGTTGACTGGATCAGAAGAAGCCACTTGACCGTAGCTATACCAGTCAGTCTTTCTCTCCATAACAACCTCATAGCTATGCTTCATGAGGCCTCAACTGATTGGACTGACAGTGGCCAGCTGACTGCAGGTGGACCAATCAGAGTCTCTGTCTTGAAAAATAAGCACTAAAATTCAGATTTAGAGCAGCTGTGTCTACTCGTAGTTGATGAATCTGAAAGAAGTCTGTACTCTCTTATCCACAATCCAGAAATCCAAAAAGCTCTAAAAACTGCGAGCATTTTCTTACATATGTGGTAAACACATCTGGCAGCAAAAACAGATTTGACTAACATGAGGCTTTGGTAGTGTTCAGAATTCCAGTTAGAGACCATTCATGCGTTATTTGGTAGAGCCATCCCTGTACCTCCCTGGACTGTGGGGTGCTTCCCTGGACTCCACTGGGAGTACTGGTAATATATGGTTGATGTGCTGCTGTTACCTAACACCAAAAATGTTTTGGCCACATCTGGCCCCAACAGATTCAGATAAAGGATGAAAGTGTTGTGGGTCACCCTTCAGCCTCATGTGGACAAGTCAGGAGAAAGCTACTTTTCAGCTGGAAACAGGAAGAAATGACTCATAAACACAAACTGTGGTGGGCATGGAGAGAGGTCCTGATATTTTCAGAGGCCCTTGGGATCTGAGACACCCCGCAACTCTGCAACAACTCCTCTCTTTTTCATTAAGCAACTCCAGTTGGCTTGAATGAATTGGAGTTAGAGAGACCTTAACCATCCTACGCTCCATACCCTGGAAGGCTCAGCCCCAGAGGGAGTTCTGCCATGCCAGCCCGGGAGGAGCTGGGAATGCACCTCCATGTCCAGACACGGCCTTAGCCAAGCCCTCTGACACTTCAGTGGGCACGTGGCCTGCTGGCTTGGGCAGGAAGGACAGAACTCCTGAAGGTTTCCACTTAAATGAGATTCCACGGGGAAAGCAGAAATGGGGTGGGTTTGGCAACAGGCCATCTCCATGGGTTTCTGTCTAAAGGCTTTCCCACTTAGAACTATTTTCTAAGGAGAGCCTTTGTCTTCTTTTGGAGGTGGTATGGATTTGTGGTCCTGAGCCCTCCCTTGGAAAATCTACCTCTGCAAGAATTTTTTTTTTCAGTAAGAGAAAAAAGAAAAAGTATAGCTTCCCCTTTCTTGAACCGTGTGTCACTCGCCAAAGAATTCCACAGTGATAGCAATGCTATGAATAGGGCAGTCATAATGGGCTTCGAGAGAGCCCAGAGCCCAACCACAGGAATCGTTCCCATCATGGCTGAGCTAGAATTGTGCCTTTTATAAGCTGATTTTTGAGAGGAGCAAACTTCTAATCTGTATTCTACCCCCTGCCCTCTGAATTGGCCATTTGTTATTTTGTTTTCATCCTTGTGAAATGCTCCTTTTAAAAATGCTGGCTTCTGTTTATATTTGAGAGGGAATGAAACCAAATCTGTGAGAAGTCAGGACAGTTCCACCCCAGAAGGGGATATGTCAAGCTAGCCTTGCAAAGGCCTGAACTTGGGGTCTTTCCCTCAAAGACAAAATGCTTACTGCCCCTTAGCTGTCCTTATCAGAGAGGGTGGCACTTTTTAGATCAAAGGCGGTTGAACCCTGGCTGTAATGATCTGTTGCTTTGATAGAGAGAAATGAAAAGCGAGTGGATCACGACACATTCTGAACCTGGTGGGCTTCTCCAGATAGCTGCCTTGTGAAGCGTCTTGGGTGGGGGATCCAGGGCAGACATTCGTTTCTGCCCCTGGGATGATAAGGGACCCGAGGAGCTCAGCAATCCAAAAGTGGTTACAAGTCAAACAGAAGTTTAATAACGACTTGGAGAAATCTGTGGAAAACCAGACATTTAAGTGGGATTTCTGCATTGAATAAAGGAGCAGGAGAACTCAAAGCTGAAGTAGACCAAGGAAAGAATAACAACAAGGCTGTGTGCACAGTTGAGTGGAAATGGGAATGGGGTGAGTCCCTCTTGGAGCTGACCTCTTCTTGCTCCCGACAAGAGTCAGTGAAGGACAGGACAGTGGACCTAAAGTGTCTCTGTCCAGGCTGGGAGGGCTGATGGTTTGGAAACAAGGCTGCCCCTCATCAGAACCCACCATGGCGCTGGAAACAGGGTAGCCTCTGCTGCCTGGGCTCATTTTCTCCCGATTAGGGGTCCGAAGATGCTCGAGACATCTGGAAGCCTCCTGGGTCTTCTTGCATCAGAGGAATGCCCAGGCAGAGAGCAGCGAGCGTCCAGCTGTACATGTTCCTTTCAGGAGGGTGGGCCTCCTCTCTCCCTCATCTGCAGACAAAGCTGAGGGTATGTAGGCTGCTCTTCTCTTGAAGTCATGGTTAAGCGACTGTGCACTCCCATCATCACACAGCTCCAAAAAGTGGTGTTTTTCAAAAGGAAAAAAGTCTGGGGAGCTCCCCGAGGCTTTTAAATGAGCCCACAGCTGAGCGGGCTGGTGGTATCTGCCACAACTGAGAACATTCCAGGTTACTTTACAACTTGGTTCGGAGCTGATGGGTCAGGTTGCTGGGTTTAAAGCTGTGGGTCTGGGGCGGTTATAGCTGGTGATGCCTGGGCCTACCCTCTCCAACCCCCAAAGCTGCGCACACTTGAGCCTGTAGGAGCAGACCGCAGAGTGGAGATTTCAGAGGTTCTTCAAACCACAGAAAAGAAACCCAAGACCTGGCACAGGAACCTCATTCTCCTGCAAAAGACTTCAGAGGCTGGTAAAAATCAGGCTCAGTCGCTGTAGTTCTTATTAAAAAGCCTCTTCACTCGACACTTATGAAGTCATGCTCTCGCTGTCTTACTCAGGTACTGGAAGCCAGATGATAGCTGGTTATTTTCCAAGTCAGCTCCTCTGGAATGGGGGTCCCTCCCTGCTCCTTATCAGCCGCAGGAACTTTGATGCGTCATGTAACCCATAACCTCTCATCTTTGCATGGCTCGCTCTGCATGGTAATTGAGATGACGGATGCAGAGCTAACCTTGGCCTGGCCTATGGTGTTCTGTTCAACAAACAGGACCTGTTCAACAAACAGGACCATATCGTCATCATTAGGACACAGTCTTGTCTCCCAGAGATGAGCAGAATTTTAAGTGCCCCCCATGGGGGACAGACAGTCCTTATCAACAAACATTACAAACCCTACGGACATGATATACCATCGAGAATTTGATCAGCCACTGGAAATACTTGCAGTGGCCCATGGGGCACCGTCCCCTGATTTGGGAGAGAAAGTTCTAGGAAAGAAAACGTGACCCGTGCCTATCATCATCTCCGAGTTGTAAACTGCCCTCAAAACTTTTTTTTTCCCCAAACACCTTAGTCAAGAAGTCAAGAAGTGAAAGCCAACCCAAAACGAACCAAGAAAAGAAATGCAAGAAAGCATCAATGTTGGAAAGAGGGAGAACAGACATAGAAGCCTACCGTCCCATGCCTGCAGAACCTCTCTCTCCTCAAAGATGGCCCTGGGACCTTCAGTACATGGCACTAGGTGGCAGGCTGCCAGCACCCCCACCTTGCTGCAAATGGGGGTGCAGGACGATTCTGGTCTGCCACCCACCTCACAGCTGCTTTTAAGAAATCTCCCAGGGCTGGGTCATCCAAGTTCAACCCCACTGTTCCAGAAGCCGGTCCACTGCTCACCGGCGCAGCGGGCCTGGAGTGTCCCATTGGATGGATGGCTGGGAAGGGGGAGCCCCACGAGGTTTCCTAGGAGGTGTTTACATTCTTGGAGGAGAAGGGGGGCACTGTGAAAAGACGTGCCATATGCCTTTACCATCAACCACCACTGCTGTCAGCAGGCCCTTCTTCTTGCTGCTCAGCCGGTCATGGGTCTGGCACTGCTGGTCCCGGAAGCTGGGCAGGCCCTTGGGGCAGGGAAGGTTCTCGCAGACAGCATGCTCCACACTGGCTCCCAGGCAGTGCGTGCCCCCAGGCCCAGGCCTAGAAGGAAGGAAAGGTTGGTGTTAACCAGACAGTGCTATGGATACAGCAGGGGTGCTCGTTTTTTTTTTGTTTGTTTGTTTTTCCCCACTTTTGCCAGGAGGGGAAGGGGTCTGGCCAAGCTTCCAAAGTAACCTCCCTCTGCTCTTCCACACTATATCTCAGCAATCCCAGTCCCATGCTGACGGCATGTTTAAGTGAGCCGTCAGAAAAATGCATCCAAGAACTGTAAATCAGGGTCATCTGGAAATAGAATACGGTATCAGTTCAGCAAGATCCACAAACTGGGTCTTTCATCTGAACTTAAAACTTGGCCATTTGTAACAATGAAAACCCCAAGGGGGAATTTTTACTGTGTGTGTGTGTGGGTTTTTGTTTTTGTTTTGTTCTCTTTTTTTTGGTCTTCTATAAAACAAAGACCTTTACACGGCTTCTAAGTCTACTCTGGAGATCACTAAATTTCAGAATGAGTAAACCGCTCTCATTTAACTTTGTAATGTGAAGAATCAGAATGGTTCATTAACTAGTTCAATGGCTTAGGGTAGAGACCTGCCAGATCCCAGCTCTGCAACCTTGACCTGGGGACTTGGGCAAGTGTGAGACCACAAGTGGTCAAAGACACATCCTGGGCCCCTGAGGCTCTGTGCTTAGACTGGGGTTCCAAGCAGTTTGGGAGCCCCAGCTGTGTTCTCTGGCCAAGCCCATGTGTGTGAGGGGCAGTGAGGAGGAGCAGCAGGACCCTGGTCTGGCTGGCTGAAATGTGGGTCCGCCCAGCTGTTCCATGAAGCCCTGGGGTGTCCTCATGGGGCTCTGACCCAAGCAACCTCAGTGGTTTCCTTCATTTCCACAATGCCAAAATCACCATGAAGGAGTACGACTGTTTTCTCCCTGAAGTTTTTATTGAAATTCAGCATTGAGGGGAAAAGAATGCAAATCACAACTGTTTTGCTCATTGGCTTTTCACAAATTGCATACACCTGTTGGCAGGGCAATAAGTTTTGACACAATCACCATTTCATCCCAAGGATTTCTTTTCCTCCCTTTGCCGTTCGTTGCAGTCAAAGAGGCCGCCCTATGATCACCGCTTCAGGGGAGAGAGATCAAAGCAGAAATCCTAGGCATTTGTGTCATCAGGGGTCTACAAACTTATTCTGTAAAGGTGACTATTTCTGGCTTTGTGGGCCACGCAGTCTCTGTCCCAACTACTCACCTCTGCCACTGTAGTACAAAGACAATGAATATCCAGAAGGGCATAGCTATGTGCCAATAGAACTTTATTTATAAAACCAGGCAGTGTACCGGATTTGGTCCACAGGTCATCATTTCCAGGTTTTGGTCTACGTAAATGTGTTGGAGAAAATGTCTGAAGCAGGAAGAAAGGCTTCACTCTTCTTCCCTCTATGCCCACCTCATGTACACCAGGAAACCTCCCCCTCACTTGGGCATGGTGGCAGCCTTGAGAGGTTATACACACTGGTGGCCCCAAAGAGGGGCCCTGAGTTCTGATCTCCATCCAAGTCAGGAAACAGCAAAACCTCTCTAAGGCTTATGGGATTTGAGAACAGAGAGACCTTTTGTTCTTTTTCCTTCCCAGAACACCAGGGAGGCAGCTGGATCTTAGAGAAATGATTGCATGGCATGTTTAGGGAGGCAGAGTCTCCCAAGAGCCCTGGGCCTGAATGCCAAGTGTGGACAGATGAATGGATTCCTGTGCTACAAAGCACAGTGTAGCAGAAAGAGAGAAGGGAAAAGCCATGTGGACCAGCAGGAAGGACATCTCTGTAACAGGCTAGTTCCCATGGCTGGGACCAGAGAAGGGATGGGTGAGGCAGCAGATGCTGTATGGTGAGAAGTTATGGGTTGAATTGTGTCCATCCAAATCATATACTGAAGTCCTAACCCCAGTGCCTCAGAATGTGGCCTTATTTAAAAATAGGACCACTGCAGATGTATTTAATTAAGATGAGATCATACTAGAACAGGGTGAGCTCCTAATCCAATATGACTAGTATTCTTATAGAAAGGGGAAATCTGAGATGGAAACAGAGGGGAGAACAACATGCAAAGATGAAGACAGAAATCAGGTGATGTTTCTACATTCTAAGAAATGCCAAAGAACACCAGCCACTAGAAGTCAGGAGAGAGGCATGGAACAGATTCTCCTTCACAGCCTTCTTAAAGAACGAATGCTTTCAAGACCTTGGTCTTTGACGTCTGGTCTCCAGAACTAAAAGAGAATAAATTTGTGTTGTTTACACCACCCAGTTAGTAATAGTTTGTTATGGCAGTCCTTAGAAGACAGATATACCGGATGAAACAAGGATCAGAGGCATCCTCACTGAATATAGTTGTAGATTCAGGGAATATGGGGCAAAAATTCCTGATGTGATTAGGAATCCAACCTGAACTAGAATGGAGTTAAAAAATACAAATTAAAACATCAAAAATACAAATGCAAATAAAAATTGGTTTCTAGAAAAATGAGGCAAGCTACGTTTGCCATTTAGGGTGGAACTGAGATTTGTGCACCTCATGTAACTAATTTTCTGAGCGACATGTCCCTAAGCTTTATTTTAGCTTCCGTTGTACCTATCTCTAACAATTGCTTTTTCCAGATTTACATCTGACTGACCCTTATAAACCAACTACCTTTATGCCTTGTGGCAGGTGGATGGAGAGATTAGACGTAAGAAAGATCCAGCAGAAAGTGGGCCTGGAGGTGAGGGGTAGTCTGTGGGATACCTCATGTGTCTCAGGTTTCTTTCCTCCTGGACTCTGTCTACCCTATTTCGTCTCCCTGCCCAACCTTCTCCCATGGGCAAGTCCCCTTTCAGCCCCTCATCTAGTCTACCACCCCATCTTTCCCACCTCCCCTACCCCCAACTCTCCATCCATCCTTGAGGCCACCTCCACCCTAAAGCCTCTTTTTACTTCCTACACGGAGCCTCTTTCGCCCATGCTTGAGTCTCTGCTATGCTGCTTATCATCAATCTTGTGAAACGGTGAGCTAGACTATGATCTTCCTCCTATCTTTCTGCAGCTTCATGCAGAGAACCTTGCACAGACTAGTCTTTAACAAACAGTAGACAGAGGTGAACTAAATTATCAAAATTTATCTTAAAAAGACCAAGAGAGAGAGTGAAGTTAAGAAAGATGGGGGAGTAGGAAGCACTAGGAATCCATCTCTCCACTGAGACAACAACTGTATTGGCAAAAAACTGTCTGAGGTAACTATTTTGAAATTCTGGAGTCTATTTGAAAGCATACACCCTTCTGGAAAAAGCTTGGCTGGTAAGTTGTGGTTTAATTTAGATGCATTTTAGCCTTTATTGTGGGAGTGGCTATCTGTTCCCCGCACTCCAGCCCCATGGCAGGCAGCTGTGCCTGGTGTGTCTTGCTGCAGCCAGGCTGGACAAGAGGAACCTGGGGTTCTGTGTTCTGACTGTTCAGTGTTGCTTTTGATTTCTGAGATGCAGGAACAGAGGGTGGCCACCATTGTTGCAACTCCTATGAGCTGAAGGGACCTCCAGGGAGTTTCAAAGAGCAATACATTTTTTCCCCCTTTTCCCCCTCTGGGAGCCAGATATGCAAGGGTTGTCATTCAAAAGCAACTGCACATATGGGAAAATTTAGGAAGCTACCAGGTAGGCTTGAAAAGATGAAGGCTAGAAAAGGCTTGGGAATATCTTATGCTTTTACTTCGGGTTGATCCCCAGCACAGAGAAACCTTTCAACAGCAAAGAAACAGAAAATCCAAAAAGGGAGAGCTGATTAACAGAGTTACATTATAAGATTCGAATGTCCAGTTTTTCAACAAAAGAATCACAAAGCATACAAAAGAAAAGAAAAGTATGGCTCACTCAAAGGGACAAAATACACCAGCAGAAATATACCTGAGCAAACTCAGATGCTGGGCTTATTACACAAAGACTTAAAACACTGTCTTAAAAATATACAAAGCACTAATGGATGACATAAATAAATACATAAAATGATATATAATAAAAATGAAAGTATCAATCGAGACAGAAATTACAGAAAGGAAAAACAAATTCCAGGATTGAAAAATATAATAACTGAGATAAAAAATTCACCAGGTGGATTCAGAAACAGATTTAAGCAGCCAAAGAAAGAGCCAGCACATTTCAATATAGGACAATTGAAATTATTAAGTGTGGGGGTGAAAAGAAAAAGAATGAAGAAACGTGAATAGAGGGGATCTGTGGTAAACTACTAAGAGGACCACCGTATACATTATGGGAGTCTCAGAAGATGAAGAGAGAGGAACAGAGATTAGTTGAAGAAATAATGGCTGAAAACTTCCCAGATTAGAAGAAAGACATGAATGTACAAATCCACGAAGCTCAACAAAATCCCAGTAAGATAAACTCACTGATACACTTTTCAATTAAACTGTCAAAAAAATAGAGAATCTTGAAAGCAGCAAGAGAGAGGCAACACAAAACACATAAGAGAATCTTAATAAATTATGAGCGTATTTCTCATCAGAAACTCTGAAGGCCAAAAGACAGTAAGGTCGATACATTCAAAGTTCTCAAAAAACAAACAAATAAACAACAACAAAAAAAAATGCAAAAAAAAAAAAAAAAAAAACAACAAAACACCAAGCCAAACCAACCAACCAACCAAACAAAAAAAACCTATCAACTAAGAATTCTATATCCAGCAAAACTGTCATTCAAAAAAAGGAGGGGGAAATTCAGACATTTCCAGGTAAACTGAGGAAGTTTTTATGTATTGTTTTTAATACTAGACACGCTCTACAAGAAACACTAAAGAGAGTCCTTCAGGATTCAAATGAAAGGATGCTAGATAGTGAGGTGAAGCAGATGAGGAATTAAAGATCTCCAGTCACACAGGTGTGATGTTAAGCTTTGTCAGTAGAAGGTACCAGAGAGACACTAGAGAAAGAACAGACTTTTGTCTCTGGTTCTGGTATTGAATTTCTCTCAACAGACTCGTGTGGTGGCCTGTGATGC